GTGCATGAACTGATAGCGCTCACCAACCTGCCGGACCAGAACGTGAGCACCAGGAGTCGTGGAAGACAACCCCAGATACTTGTACTTCTTCCAATCGCTGTCCACGTCCGCTCTCTGCTGATGGAACCGCTTCTCCTTTGCCAACACATCATGACCAAACGGGGCCAACAACTTAGTGAGCATGCCAAGACGCTCTCCGCGCTGTTGCATGGCAACTGTCATAATGGCTGCAGGCCACATGGCATGAGATAGGCTAGATCCATGAAGTAGGGTTCGCGTTTTTTGTTTGAGCAGTCGAACCGAGCCCTCTATGTAGCCATTAGACCTTGGATCCCCAGGCTCACTGTAGGTTGTGGCGATACCCTGACTTCGACACCACTGCCGAATCGGCTTGCCAAAGAATTCTGTCGATTTATCAGAGTGCATCCTTCGGACTGAGCAATTGTGCGATCTCAGCCATATGGCTATTTCTTGCAAGCCAGTAAGGATCTCTGCATTGCGATTGGTGTGTAAAGGCACTGCAAACAACAGCGTGTCGGATTCACCACTAAATTGTAGATCCTCAATGACCCGGTCGAGTGGATCAGGAGGCACATCAGCGCCAAGTTCATGATCGTGTTCGCCTTCGGCGACCCCTACGTCTGCAGCTTCTACCTCTTCCAAGACACCAACTTGCTCCAGATCTTCGTCAACCTCGGGCTCAGAGAGCACGTACTCATCGAGATCTGTGTGCTCACCCTCCTCCTGGAGCGGATCCTGGCCTACCACCTCCTGTTCACCAGCTGGCTCTGATTGCAATTTCTGGGATTCCTCTAAAACCCTCTGGATCTCTTCATCCGTAGCTATGCCTTGAACATGCGGAATCTTTGCGAAGCGATATGCACCGACTAAGCAGTAACGAAACGGTCTCGGCGCCTTACCTCGTTGGTCCGGATTCATACCTGGATACCGTAGGGGGCCAATGACGTCCACATTCAAGCAGCTAACGCTGGGATGTTCGATTTTCCGATGCTGGTGTGAGTACCCCGCACCTGACACACAAGATGCGCACTGCCGATTGTACGGACGATGTCCTGCCAACAAATGTTGTCTCCATTGCTCTCGTGTCATTGGGCATAAGCGGATGAAACTGTGGTGTTGCTCAAGAGCGGAACTCACTTCATGTCTAAACGAGTCCGTCCACACCCTGGAATGACAACACCGATGATTGGACAAATTATTGGAGTTCTGAGCTTTCTGTAGGAAGTAACCCAGATTCGTGCCCACGGTCCACGTGTGCACCGAACCAACATCGCCACCAGCTGTCTGCAGATCTACAGTAGCAAGGCCTGCCTCCTCTTGATAAGCCCTCCATAATCCCGTATCCCAAAAGGAGAACGAATCCCATTGGAACCTCTCTGCCTTCGAATCAATCACCTTTGGGTGCTCAATCAAGAACCCAACATCAGAGGATTGGTGTCTCTTGTCCCGGTGAGCGCATCGTCCAGCACAAGCCAGAGCATGAAGAACCAACATTCGGCCTGCTAGACCTAACTCATTCAGGAAAATCTTGGCATTGTCAGGGTCTTCTTCAACAATGAGAGGCTGGGACCCTGAGTGGCGAAAGAAGGCGGAATCACGCTGCAGCTTACGAGACGCATCTGGAAGAAACTGTGTATGAGGTGGTGAGCCAACAATGTGCGAGATGCGCCCGTTGCGAGCACCCCAAACCAGCGCATGCCATGCAGGATGCGACCGAACATCAAGGCCTTTAGAAAGTCGCAAGTCCAAGTTAAGAATGACCGAGTCTCTCCCAGCAGGTAGCTGCAGTGATGGGGTGCTTCGATCACCGGAAAACATGTGAACAACCCAGTTCTTCGACGAATGCAAAGCTCTGCGTTTTGCCCTGCTCAAGCAATGCAGGCCTGACAACGCCTGCCAACCTTTGCACTGGGACTGGTCTGGAAGAAGATTGGAATGAAGAGTATCTGGAGCAAAGTCGGTCCACGAGGCATTTGTCAAAGCTAAGCAAGCTGAGTCTTCACTCCCATCCCGTGCGTACTGCATCAGCCGATGAAACCAAGTGCGTTGTCCAAAAGCCCTTGACTTTTCAACCAATGTGGAGGTATCAGCGGTGGCCTGCTCAAGCTGGGTTACGTCCTTCTGCAACTTAGCCTGCTCCAGTTGCGTGATCAGCTTGAGGGCTTCGTGCTCCTGCAGCTGCGGACATCCTGATTTGATTCGGAGTTTGTAAGTGCGTCCCTCTGGAGATTGCAGTTTACATACAGATCGACTCCAGCTCAACCGATAGCCCAACCTTTCAATCAATGGACCTAGTGGCACTATCACTTGGCTATTCTGGGAAGGACTCGCTGGCTCATTGAGCAACGTTCCTCGGTCGGACATCCTAAACACTCCAGTTTGATCCCCTGCCAACTGAACTTGCACCTCACTTGCACTCTGCCATTCTCGCTGACTGACCGACGGCCGGAGTGCGTGCGTGGCGCCTGAGTCAAGAAGAGCAGATGCAGACTCTGTCTCCTCCTGGAACGAAGCTTCCTGCATCACGACCGTCGTCATCATGTTGAGCTTCGGTGACGGTGCCTGCGGTGACCCATCTCCAACCTGAGGTTGAATTGCTCGAAGCTGGGCTTGGGCCTGCTCCAGCAACTTGTCCAACGCAACGATATCCACTCCTGACGTCTGGCCTCCTAAGCCTAGAGCAGCAAGATTAGCACCTGAAGCTGCAGGTCCACTCACGGCCGCTGCGATGGGTGACGCAGCAGCTTGCATCGAGCTGGAACTTGTAGGCTTTGCTGTAGGATTGACCACCAGCTGCGTGCTGTCCAACACAGGCTGAGTAATCTGGGCCAAACCGACTGGGCTTACAGGAGACGTTGGTGTCACAGATGAGGCCGGGCTGGTAGGCTGCGGAGCCTTGGGTGGAGCTCCACCCTTGGCCTTCCCACCTGGGCTTTCGGCTGACGGCTTGCCAGTGACAGATGGACATTGTTTTTGACGGTGCTCAGTTGAGCCGCACTTGAGACACTTGCGGGACCTTTGAGCCTTGTCCAGCGACGACATGTCGTGGAGGTAGGCGCAAGCAGGGCCTTTACGACAGCCTTTGTCCGACATGAAGTATTTGCAAATCGGTTTCGTGCCGGGCTGTCTTTGAAGCGACTGTGGCGGATTGTTCGGCTGAGTGGCTTGACCAAGCGCCCGAAGCTTTGGACCTCCTGCACTGTTCACTGCCGCCGCTGCGATCTCCATCTCACTCAAGATGTGCTTCGCATACTCCTTTGTCTCATCAAGCGTAGGCATTCGATCAATGTGGAGCATGGATCGCGAGCACTGCAGCCTGAAGTTGATGTCCTGGTGTGTAGCCATGAGTGGACCAACAAGATTCGTGAGGCCCCTGCTCAAAATCATCGTGTCCGGAGGGTTGAGGCGACACTCTTGACATCTCAACAACCACCGGTTCCATGACCTGAGCAAAGTAACAGCTTCCTGAGGTGTCTTGGCCTGACCTGGGTCTTGCAACGCTTGCAAGATACGCGTGCGCTCCGCGCCTCCTCCTGGTTGGTAGGCGATGAACATCCTGAAGAGTATGTGCAAGGAAGATGTTGCACACCCTCGCGAGATCACATCAGCCTTAAGCCCTGCCGGAAGCACGGACATCAACATGGTGGCAAAACGCGCGTTAACACGTACCCACTTGGGAAGATCAACCCTAGCAGTATCCGGTTGGATTGCTGCCCTGTCCAGCGGACTAGCCGACTGCCATCGAGCATACGCCTTCTGGATTTCCTCCACCAATCGGCCCCACCACTCGCCGCTTGAGTCGCTCAAGTCCATTGCTACTCCTCCTGTGACATGTACCCAGTCCTGGAAAAGCAGTGGCGCCTCTGGCTCACTCTCAAGCGGGAGCGGGGATAATGTTGTCACGCCCGGCTTTACAGCCTCTGGAGAGGTTGGTGACGACTCAGTTGTAGCATGGGCACCCTTGAGCGCCGATTGCTGAAGCTCCTGAAGCTGCCTTACTGAATTGGCTAATGCAGACACAAGCTCTGGGCTCTGATTCCAGGTTTGAGGAGGTGCCATGTAGCGCTGAGCAGGATCTGCAGCGGAGACTGGAGGAACAGGTCTGGTAGAAATCTGCGGAAAGGCGTGAGCCGATTGACTCGGTTCCTGCGCGCTTGAGCCAAACCATCCTACAGAACCACTAGGAAACCCAGTACCTAGGTTGCAACCAGCCCCGGCATATGTTTGACCGCTCTGCGAATGAAATGCACCTGGAGCCTGCGCATGCTGTTGCAAAGGCACCTGAGACCCATCTAAACCGCCTGCTACGCCTAAACCGCCTGCTAGGCCTAAACCACCTGAGAAA